TCATTAAACTAGACACACCCAGTTCCTGCAACCGTTCTTCATATGTTTTAGCCTCCAGTCCCCTAAATAAACTTTGTTGGTCTTCTCTGCACCCTTTCTTCTTGTTGTTCTCCAAAAGGTATTATACAGGCTAAGCCAGACTGGGCTTGTCCCCCCTTTTTCACTGCTGTCCCCATTTCTGTGGAAAAGGAGGCAGGGTGGAATACAGCAGCCTCTTCACCTTGGCCATGCTGTTCCGGGTGAGGGAAGGTGGGGCAGGTGGGAGGATCAGAACTGGAGGCAGTTCACACAGGAGAGAAGAAATTAGTCACCTCTAATAAAGGAGAGTATTTGCAGCTCAGGGTCGAAATGAGAGGTCCCTGATGTTCCCTGAGCATGGTTGTTTTCTTGCAGACATTTCGTTACCCAAACTAGGTAATGTCATCAGTGCTGGTCAGAGTTGGCCTCTTTTGGCTTAGTGAGCGTCTGAAAGCATCTCTCGTCTTGGATGAACCAAAGGTCGAAGCTGGGGTTAATCAAGGCAGGAATGGCTTGGATTGAGGTCAACCCTTACCTAACAACCATGCAGGGTTCAGTTAATGGCAATAACTGGGATTGCTGCAAAAGCCATAACTAAGCAGCCAGGTTAGGGGATGTTTCACTTAAGAACTGCTTTCCTTAGCAATGGAATTGCCAGTCCCATTTAGTTAGTACTTAGTTAGTTAGCTTACTTTATTGTTATTGCACCTCGTACAATGAAATTAAATGCCATCTTCAGTGTACATTTTACATAAAAAAACAAAAAACAAACACACATCCTTCACATTCTATACAACTGAATTGAAAACCCCTGATATTACATTAATGTTGCGCTATACAGTAGAATTCAATATAGTTACTGTTCTGGGGTAGAAGCTGTTTTTTTCAGCCTAATTTGTCCTTGTTCTTATTATCCTGTACCGTCTGCCAGATGGTAATAGTTCAAAAACAGGGTGCCCAGGATGAGATGGGTCTTTAAGAATGTTTCTTAAGGCAGCAAGAGCTATAAAGCTCTTCCAAAGAGGGGAGAGGGGGCAACCAACAATCCCAAAACCTCTTCTGATCAGGCTTTTGGCTTGAGTATGGTTGGCCTATAGTCACTCGGATACTTCTGAACCTAAATCTCTCCAAATCTGCTCACTCCATGCACCCGCTAGTTTTTTTTCTTTTTCTTTCTTTTTTCATTTCTGTTATAATTTTGCACCGGTGAGGTTAAAACCAATTTCCTTGTATTTAAGTACAATGACAATAAAGATTATACTTATACATATCTTCATCACTACATACCTATATTCACTTTCATAATCTGTGTGTAATTTTTCAAATGTTTATATTTTTAGGCTATTCAATTCTGTGTTCATTATATAATGAATATTTTCTAATTCAGACAAGCAAGCCAACAGTAAACAGCAGCCTAATCAAGGAACTACCAAGAACACTCCACCAAAACTGGCAGGGCAAACAACTTGTATATAAACAGAGAGCAAACCCCACTCCTTACTAGCACTGATGATGTTACCTAGCTGGGTAATGAAATGTCTTCAAGAAAAGCATCAAACTCAGAAAGCACCTACAACCCCACCATCCAGTCCTGAGCACCGTTCAAACTCTTCTGCTGGTAATATTTTTTTTTTTTCTTGAAATGAGGTTTCCATTGGGCCAAGGCATATGGAGAGCTATCCTCCTCTTGGCTGTAAAAACCCAACTTTGAGAAACAAAATAAAAACATTATATAAGCACACCTTCCTCTCAGGTCTGAGGTAACTACCTTGTGTAGTCGGCCTTGGCTGTCACCCAGGAAAACAACCGTGTGTCCATCTTCGATGCTGGCAGCCACGGCAGTTAGTCGGGCATCTGGTTTTTCCAGGACTGGCGCTGCTTCAAGTGGTACTCGACTTGCCATGGGACTGGGGGTGTGGTCCGAACCACAAGGATAGGCAGCCAAAGTGTCCTTTGGATGAAGGAAGAAAATGAGATCAGTGGTTTTGACACAAATATATCATGATAGAGTTCAAGAATACTCATCACTGCCAAGGATAGGGTTTGTCAACAACCATGGCAACTTTAAGATGTCTGGACTTCAACTCCTAGAATTCCCCAGCTGCCATGGTGGCTACAGAATCTGGGAGTTGAAATTCAGACATCTCAAAGTGACCAAGATTGAATAAACTGGCTAAGTGGTAGTAAGTGGATGGGTTTGAGGTTTGAGGTTTNACACACACACACACACACACACATCCCATTGCCGTACTCCATTGCAAATATGCAAATTCAGGCAAGATTTATTTAGTTTATTTGTCAAACAAAATTACAAATTTGAGGAAAGGAAATAAGAAAATCAAAATGTGAGAGGGGCGACGGGCATACCAGGGAACTCATGCTTGCCCCCTTAGGAACCTCTTAAATATGGAGTGAAAACTGAAGTTAGGTTAGAATTTAAACTCTGAAAGCTAATAGCTGAGACAATTGAGCTATTATATGTTGAGACAATATATTTACATTGTTGGAGTAATTCAGCGTTCCCCAAGTTTTCTGGGTTGGTGGGAGAGGAAGGAGGGGATGCTTTTTTGGGAGGGGAAGTTGCCCGCTGCTTGAGTAAGTCGGGATGCCAATAGGCCCCAGCCTGGTAGGGGACCACAGCCCACAGGTGCACATGCATGCATGTAAACAGTTTCATTGGTGTGAGCAGCGGGCATCTGTGCCCACCGCTCATGCGAGTAGGGCTACGAGCATGTGTGCCCCCCCTGCTCCAATGTGAGATGATGAGCTTATGTGCCCGTCACCCTCCCATGCACTTGCCTCTCCCACAAGTGGGGCTGTGCAAGCATGTGAGCCTCCTGCTTGAGTGAGTCAGGTTGCCTGCACCACCACTCATGCAGCCTGAGTACTAGGCACGGGATTAGTTGTTGCCATCGCCTGCCAAATGATTGTGTGGTATGCTATGCCTTCTTTGGGGAGGTAGTTTTCACATCCAGTATGCATTTCTTGTTTTTTGTTTTGTTTTGGTCTTTCTGTGAACAGAAGTCATGGATGATTGTTCTACTAACTGCAATGGAAATGGAGAATGCATTTCTGGCCATTGCCACTGTTTCCCAGGATTCCTCGGTCCTGATTGCGCACGAGGTATGGCTTTGAAACTGAACACACTCACCCAAATATACCAACATTCCTACTTGTCTATGGAGATATTCCATCTTCCCTGGTTAGAACTAAAATACCTCCTAATATAAGATTCGTTCTATTAAGAACTATCCAATAACCCAGCATTGCCCGTGTATTTATGTATAGGGGGAAAATGTCTGGACCAAACGTCATTTCTAATGCTGGATTTTCCCCCTTACCAGAGGGGAACCCCCCCCCTTATGGAGTATTATGAAATTGTTACAATGGCAACTCCTCTACGTTGTACAGTAGAAGCCATTTTAAGGCACATCAGGCTGTATCTTAACAGAACACAAATCCCGATGGGTTTTAGGATAACCCACAGTAGTTGTTTCCAGAAAATAAGTCATCTATGTGAAGCATTATGTACATGGTGAAGCAAATACTAATGTTAATAACTTTAATTTTAATATCTATAATATTATTATAATTATGTGAGTATGATTAATGTAACTGATATGATCAATATTATTTTGTATCAAAACTACCAATACCCAGATTCCACACTGTTCAAGTATTCAATACTTACATATATTTAAAATGAAAAAAATATTAAAAGAAAAGAGGGAGCTGCTCCATCATCCCAATCACAGTTGTTCCAAAGATGCTTTATATTCAGAAGGCAACTGGATTTCCTTGGTAGGTGATGTTGTAGTCTGCCGGTGGCCAGTGGAGCTGGCAGCAGTCAGACAGTTAGGAGGTTGGGGAGGAACAGGGGCCAGTCCTGGGGGCTGAGGAGAGCTCAGATGAGGGCTCCGCGTCAGAGGCAGAGAGAGAGCTAGACAGCAGTGAGGCAGAGGAACAACTGGAGCCTGTTCCCAGTGTGCGCATACACAAAGCTACTAGAAGACAAGGACAATTAAGAAAGCAGGGTAGACGTAAGAGTAAAGTCACACCTTGAAGGTGATTTGCCCCTCCCATAGGAAACAAAAGAGGAACAAACTGGAAGTGGGCTTTTGCAGGAAACAATTTGTTTCTTCAGTTGTTTCAAGAGTGGAAAGTTCTGTTTGTGATTATAAGAGACTCTGTGCCAAGTGTTGCCTTGCTCTGCATTTGGAAACTAGCTATCTGGCAGCTCTCCAAGCGAGATAAGGTTCGTGTTGATAAATATTCCTCTGAAAGACTGTTTTGCCAAGCCTTGCTGACTGTGAATGAAAGGAATTCACAGTTGTGTAAATAAAAGAGATTTTGCCAGGACCAAGATTCTGTTTCTTGCTTTTTAAGGAAGCCTAAGTCAGAACAGGCATTGTTTTTTTCCTTTGAAAACACTTTGCTTCTCCATGAACATTAGAACTGCAGAAGCTTCTTTGATGAAGACGTCATCTGATGGAGATTATTGACGCCGAATTTCATCTTCCTTCCACAGATTCCTGTCCAGTTTTATGCAGTGGAAACGGGGAATACGAGCAGGGCCACTGTGTTTGTCGCAATGGATGGAAAGGAGCAGAATGTGATGTCCCAGAGGAACAGTGCATCGACCCCACCTGCTTTGGTCATGGCACATGTATCATGGGAATCTGCATTTGCGTCCCGGGTTATAAAGGAGAGATCTGCGAAGAAGGTTGGTCTCTTTTTTTGTTCTTGGAAGTCTACTTCCAAAGTGTCAAAAGGTTCGGTACTTAAAAAGCCATCGCACCGACTGCCGAAAGTGGTGTACAAAACACTTTCTCATGGGATGTTCTACAGCAGGGGTATCGAACTCAATTTCATCAAGGGCCCCATCAGGTTTGTGTTTGCCCTCAGGGGGCCAGGGTTGGTGTGGCCAGCTCACTGTCACTCATCTCGGGGACACCTGTGGTGGCCTGCGTGCTCTGCCAGCAAAAACAGGCTCCCAAGCTCGGTGTTTGGCTGTGACAGCCTCCTGCAACCCTCTGCCAGTGAAAACAGAGCTTGCAAGGGCCGCCTGCAGCCCTCACATGCGCCCATGGCAGAGGCACTGCAGGCCGGTCCTTTGCTGTTTCTAGGGTGGCCCCACAGGCCAGATCTAAGCACCCCTTGGGCTGGATCCAGCCCCCGGGCCTTGAGTTCTACTTGACCTATGCCCACAATTGAGCCCAAAATTAATGTTGCGGAGCGAAAATTTGTTAAGTGAGTTTTGCCCCATTGAATGACCTTTTCTTTCTGGTGTTTAAGTCACTGCACATATTAAGTTAATAATACTGTTGTTCAGTTAATCTGGCTTCCCCATTGATTTTGCTGATCAGAAGGTCACAAAAAGTAATCACATGACCCCAGGACACTGAAACCATCATAATTATGTGGAAGTTGCCAAGTTTTTTTTAAAATCACATGACCACGGGAATGCTGCAATGGTCATACGTGTGAAGAATGGTCATAGGTCACTTTTTTCAGTGCAAGGGTAACTTTGAACAGTCACCAAATAAAGTGTTTTAAGTCAAGGGCTGCCTGTACCTCTCAAATGGTCTATTCTGAACGTGGAATGATTCCTGCTGGAAACGTCTGGCCGCTGATAAAATCCAGCATCTTGTTCAATTGTGACTTTTACTGCCTTCCTTTTTTTCTTGTTCTTAAAGGAAAGAAAATTAAACACTCACTCCACTTACTGGTACATAGGATACAAAAAATGTTTGAAAACTGAATCAGCAGATTAAAATAAAAGCAATATTTCTTTATTTAATTTGATTTTATTTATGTATTAAATTTATTTGCTGTCCATCTCACCATGAGATGAATATAGCTAATATCGAGCCATTACTTATATAGAATTGAATATGTTATTTCCAAAACTGTTTGAGTGTTAAAAATCCTCTCTGTGAATGAATTCCAGCAACGGAGAAACTAATTTTCTAGCTGAAGAATTACTGTGTTTCTACTGATAGCAAAAACTTTACACAGGTTAATCTGTTGGGTAAAATACACCGGCAATCTTAGAAGCTGTTGTAAATCTTTCAGATCCATTGGTGAGAGTTGAGTTCCAAAATATCTTTCAATATCAGCTCCTCCAAAGCTATGAAAGTTCTGACTGAATGTCTGGACCCTGCTAAACACTGAAAAATAGAATAGAAATAGAATAGAAATAGAAATAGGAAGGGAATGGCATGGTAAAAGAGAAGAGAATTCTTTATTCTTTATTGGCCAAGTGTAATTGGACAGACAAGGAATTTGAATTAGAATGGAAGGGAAGGGCAGAAGAGGAGAGAAGAGAATTCTTTATTTTTTATTAGCCAAGTGTGATTGGACACACAAGGAATTTGTATTAGAGTAGAGTAGAGTGGAGTAGAGTAGAATTTATTGTCACTTTGAATGTACACTAATTTACACTAATGTACACTTTAAAATGAAATTTTGTTGCATGCAGCTCTAAGGGTCAACATCTCCTATATACACTACATAAACATTGCAAAATAAATAAATACAAAATTATGTATATACGGAAGGTCTGGACCTTGCTAAACCTTCCTTTCTTCCTTAGTTGTAATATAGTTTGCTTTACAGTTTCACAGTCTGAAGCTTCAAAGGAAGAGTGTGTTTGCCTTCAAACCTTATCCTTGAAAGTGTAAGGATACTTTTACTTGATTTCTGTTGGCTATTTCATGTCCTTGCTTCCCTATTTTATCTTCCAGAGGACTGCTTAGACCCAATGTGTTCTGGTCACGGAGTCTGTGTCCAAGGAGAATGCCACTGTTCCATGGGCTGGGGTGGAGTCAACTGTGAAACATCACTTCCCATCTGTCAAGAACAATGTTCCGGCCATGGCACTTTTGTCCTAGAAACAGGACTGTGCAGTTGTGACCCAAAGTGGACAGGCTCTGATTGCTCATCCGGTAAGGTTTCTCGGCTCTGATCCATATCAAATTCATTCAACAGTTTACTTTTGGATAAAGGAGAGTATTGCCCTCCAAATATGGGTGTTGCTAACATGGTCAACTTTCAGGGAAAGTTTAATAGTCTGATTCTGGATATAAAAAATAAAAGGAACTGCAAAAGGAATTTACTTTCTCATCTGTACTAAGCAAAATTTCTCTGGTTCTCTCAAAGTTCCTGAGAATGAAGATGCCAGGGTTCCAAATAACATCCAAAATTAAATCAGAGTCTGAGGCAAAGTATTGCTCTAAGTTCCAATTAATTAAGAGAGCCATGTTGGCACATCTGGGAAAATCCAAATCTGAGCTTCCTGGGTTTTCCCTACCCGGGTGAGAGTTCATGATCTTGCCCCCACACCCACAAGTCCATCCCATGGTCCAATCTTCCCCTGCCATGCTGGCAGTTCCACCCATCCAGTTCCGGTCAGGTGCAAAGGTGTAGAGACAAAGGATGACCTTGGCTTTCTAGAAAGAATTTTGCTGTGGCTATGTAGTATCTTACTGTTTACAATCCCTCTTCCCATTTCCCCACTAATGAAACAGCATAGTAGAATAGAATATTAGTGTGGCAGGCCAAAGATCCCAAAAGGAACTGGCTGCAGGCCTGACAGAAGATTTCCTTGAACTCCAAGTGGTTCCCACTCCTGATGGTGTTTCAGAGGGCCTTAAAAACCTGACTCTTCTTCCAAACTATTGTAGTGNCGATTCATTCATTTCTAATGCCTTGATTTCTTCAAGGATCAACATTTTAAGAGGGTGCAGATATTTGAATGCTCCTGAAAAGCAGCTTGTGAATGACTCTGGTTCTTTCTCTCCCGAATCTTCTGGTGCTGAAATCAATGGGATTTTGTCCGTGTGTGAAGCTGACTTACAACTAAGTCTTGAAAGGTGTTATGCAAAAAGGCTTGTCAACGCAGAAGCACATCCATCATCCCTCCCTACACATCATTCCTTTGTCAAGGCAAACCGCTCCAGTTCCCAGGCTACAAACAAGATGCTGATATGCAACCATCATAATAACAAATCAGGTTGTTTTTCTCCTCTGGGCCTTTTCCCTACTATTCATTCCTGAACTGATTGAGTAGTAGATAAAAGTCAACGAAAAGAAAGAATTCCATGTCATTCCTTCTCCATCTATACATTAACAACCCTTACTCCCTCCGTCCCTTCCTTACTTCTTTCCTTTCTTTCTTCCTACTTCTCTCCCTTTCTTCCTTCTCCATTTCTCCCTTCCCTACTTTCTTCCTTCCTTCCTCTCTCCCTCTCTCTCTCCCTTTCTTCATTCCTTCCCTCCCTCCTTCCTTCCCTCCCCCCCTTCCCTACTTCCTTCCTTCCTCTCTCTTTTTCTTCTTTTCTTCCTTCCCTCTTTCCTTCCTCTCTCCCTCCCATTCTCCCTTTCTTCCTTCCTTCTCCATTTCTCCCTTCCCTACTTCTTTCCTCCCACCCTCTCTCCCTTTTTTCTTCCTTCCCTCGCTCCCTTCCCTAATTCCTTCTTCCTTCCTCTTTCTTTTTCTTCTTTCCTTTCTTCCCTTCTTCCTCCCTTCCTATCCCTCCCTCCCTTCCTTCTCCATTTCTCCCTTCCCTATTTCTTTCTTTCCTTCCTCCCTCTCTCCCCCTCTCCCTTTCTTTCTTTCTTCCTTTCTTTCTTTCTTCCTTCCTTTCCTTTCTTTCTTCCTTCCCTCACTCCTTCCTTCCTTCCCCCGCCCTTCCTTCCTACCTACCTCTTTCCCTCTCTTTCTCCCTTTTTCCCTTTCACCCCTCTCTACTTCCTTCCTTTCTCCCTTCCTTCCTTCCTCTCTCTTTTTCTTCTTTCCTTCCTTCCCTCCTTCCTTCCTCTCTCCCTCCCACTCTCCCTTTCTTCCTTCCTTCTCCATTTCTCCCTTCCCTACTTCTTTCCTCCCTCCCTCTCTCCTTTTTTTCTTTCTTCCCTCCCTCTCTTCCCTAATTCCTTCCTTCCTCTTTCTTTTTCTTCTTTCCTTCCTTCCCTTCTTCCTTCCTTCCTCTCTCCCTCCCTCCTTCTTTCCTTCCTCTCTCCCTCTCTCCCTTTCTTTCTTCCTTCCCTCACTCCTTCCTTCCTTCCCCCGCCCTTCCTTCCTACCTACCTCTTTCCCTCTCTTTCTCCATTTCTACCTTTCCTCCCTCTCTACTTCCTTCCTTTCTCCCTTCCTTCCTTCCTTCCCTCCCCCTTCCTACTTTCCTTCCTTTCTTCTTTCTTTCCTTCCTAGCAGTGGTGGATTCTGGATGGCCTGGAGTCCTCCACATGAACTCAAGAAGCGCATGCACACACGTGCGCAACACACACATGCATCTTACCATCCAGCGACGCCTCCACAAGCCTCGGCGATGCTCCAGCTGCTCGGCGGAGCATTGCA